CCATCATTTTTTTTATGAGCAGTGCAACCCCTCCTCCCCCTCTGCTCCTCCTATCTTTCCTCAGGATCTGATTTTCCATAACTCATTAATTTCAGTAAAGGATGTATTCCCAATAAACCCCAATTTAATGGAATTTGAAAATATGGGACAAAATCCACTGGGTCAGCTGATTCAGAAACACCTGACAAACTATGTTGGTTACGACTGCTTAAGTAATTAATTATTAAATACTTAAAATTACACTATTGTGTTATTGTAAATTGTGCTAAATTGTAATACTGTTATTTTTATTACTTTAAAAATTTTTTTAGTTTAAAATTTTAGCTACCTCACTGTTGTAATAAAGAAAACAATGTATAATTAAAATTTACTACTCTACCTGTTTAGCCTTAAGTAGTGTGTAAGCATTAGGTTTATTCTGCCAGAAATGCCCCAGCATGTTAGTGGCTTTCTCTGTACCTAACAACACGTTGTAAAATGTAATCACACATTGTAACTTTTGCAAAGAAATTAATTGTGCTTTGTTTTATTTTTTTGTTTTGTTATTGTAATGATCATGGCAAAGTATTGGCCACCTGTTTCCCCCAATTAGTCCATTAAATCAGTCACTATTACTGGCCATTTACTTTCCCCTATTAGTTCATTAAATCAGTCATTTTTCCCTATTAATCCATTAAATTGAGCATCAAAGTGTTAAAATAAACTAATTTATTAATACACTCTTGTTTTTCTTGCTATTTATCCTTTCAGTGGCCGTCATGTCATTGAGGCCGGGGTCCCTCATGTAGTTCTACTTCATGAGTGCAGCTCACTCATATAAGCTGTGAATGGTAACTTCTGGCATAGATATGAGAGAATGGGTTTGTGCAGTGAGTGTGCATACTATAAAAAATCCTGCCCTACTCATTGCATGATGAGAAAAGTTTCTTTGAGGTGTTTTCTAGGATACTTTTTATGCTTTTATTGGCTGTTTCTTGGTATCATTTGATAGAATGGACTTACTACTAAAATAGAGATGATCCAGGTTGTTTCACTACCTGGAGGGGGTTTCAGGGGTCAACACCCCCACGGCTCAGTCCATGACCAGACCTCATGGTGGATCAGGGCCTGATCAATCAGGCTGTTACTGCTGGCTGCATATAAACCGTCGTATGAATCATAACCCGGCTGGTCAGGTACTGACTTTAGGTGTCTGTCCAGCTCCTCCTTGAAGACCTACAGGGGTCTATTGGTAATCCCCCTTATGTATGCTGGGAGACAGTTGAACAGTCTTGGGCCCCTGACACTTTAGTGTACTTATGGCACCCCTGCTTTTTATTGGGAAATGTTGCATCTCCTAACGAGTCCTTTTGTTTTCATAGGGAGTGATTTTCATGTGCAGATTTGGGAAGTAGCTTGAAATTGGGCTGAAATTAGTGGAACAATTTTTTGTGCAACAGGGGTCCAGTGATTCTCAAGCTGGTCCTAGTGCCATTAAAAAACAAAGAAGGGAAGTAACCCTGGATAAGGACTCGGTACCTAGAGTCTTTATGGAAGGGGATTCCCCTTCCAAACAATAGTAACTTCTCCTCCCTCTCCTCTCCTCTCCTCCCGTCTTCCATACACCAACAAGTACAGGTAAGTGTGATCGTAAATGTTCATTTATACATTTTATTATTGCTTTATATTGATTTGGCATTCTTTTCTGTATGTAAATCTATATTTAATCTCTAAAAAATGTATTTTTTGTTAATACTTTTGGGTGTCTGGAATGGATTAATTGGATTTACACATTTCTTATGGGGAAAATGGTTTCGATTTTCGTGACTTTCGGCTTTCGGCAGACTCTCTGGAACAGACTAATCATGAAATTAGAGGGGTCCACTGTAGTTACACTGACCCAAATATGACAAAAAACTTTTATTAGAATTTATACCCTGAAGGAAAATGTAGAATATAATTTTGGTGTATTTGTATCTAGCATTAGAAATAATATTAGGAAAGAAGTAAATAATAAAACTGAATGTTATAGGAATGCAGCTAGAAGCCTGAGTAGATCTATAACCCAACTTGATGACATGAACATAGAAAAGTACGTTTATAGAGCGACTTGCAATGTGAACAGACCGGCTGGTGTTGTAGTGGTTAGGCTTAGGCTTGGTTACACTATTTGCTGAATTGTCCACCTATTGAGTAATATACAGTGGAACCTCAGTTTTCGTGTGCCCCAGTTTTCGTAGAATTCGGTTTTCGACAATTTTTTTCGTCTAAATTTTGTCCCAGTTTTCGTGCATTCGCTCGGTTTTCGTAGAGTTGAAAATGGTCCATACCAAAAGTGTCTGTGTGACTCAGCCAATATTCCATTGTTTTTTGTGCTTGTTTATTGAGTGCGACTACTAAATAAGCCACCATGAGGCCAAAGAAAGTTCCGAGTGCCAGCTCTTTGATAAAGAAGGCGAGAAACATGATAGAATTCAAGAAAGAACTCGTAGCAAAGTACGAAAGTGGCATACACATGCTTATATGCTATGTAACATGTTTCTTATATAATTTGGAAGAAAATATCATAGATGGATTAATGAAAATGTCTATATTAATATAAAACAAGACATTTAATGTGCCCAAAAGTGATTATTATTAGTATTACGTAATGTTTTCCCTCCGCCCGGCAACCACACCTCCATAGCACATAAACATAGCATGTTTATATGCCGGTCAGAGGGAAAGCATTGTGTTTTCTCTGATCCAGCACTAAAGAAAATGTGTATGAATGTGTGTTTGGCCTAGTCACTCTCTCTTTTGTTTACAATTCTCGGTATGACTTATTCATTACTTCTCCCTTTGTTTATGATGGCATCTAAAGGTGGTTGTTAGAAACGATTAAATTCAGTGAACAAGGTGTGTTGATGGTAATAATATGGGTCTGGGCCACAGTGTAAGTAGCTGGTAGGTGTTGCCCAGGTGGGGTACATCTACTGGCTACCTACACTGACTTCCTACAAATAAATACTACTCACCTCTCATCCAACATTAAGACAGATTAATTGGATTTACATTATTTCTTATGGGAAATACATGTATTGCTTCAGATTTTGTAGGATTTGGTTTTCGTCAGACTTTTTCGAACGGATTAATCACGAAAATCATGGTTCCACTGTACAAGATATTAATGAAAATAAGATGCCAGATATATTAAGCAAATTTCCTAAATTTGCTGGCAACAGATAAGTGAACTTATTACTATTATTTTTTTATTAACGCATCAGCTGTCTCCCACCAAGGCAGAGTGGCCTGAAAGAGAAAAACTTTCATCATCATTCACTCCATCACTGTCTCGCCAGAGGTGCACTTACACTACAGTTATAAAATTGCAACATTAACACCCCTCCTTCAGAGTGCAGGCACTGTACTCTCCATCTCCAGGACTCAAGTCCAGCCTGCTGGTTTCCCTGAATCCATTCATAAATATTACCTTGCTCATACTCCAACAGCACGTCAGGTCCTAAAAACCATTTGTCTCCATTGGCTCCTATCTTACATGCTCACGTATGATTGCTGTAAGTCCAAGCCCCTCGCACACAAAACCTCCTTTACCCCCTCCCTCCAACCTTTCCTAAGCTGACCCCTACCCCGCCTTCACTCCACTACAGATTTATACTCACTCAAAGTCATTCTACGTATTTTGATCAACCCTCTCTGCATGTTCGAACCACCTCAACAACCCCTCCTCAGCCCTTGGGATAATAGTTTTGGTAATCACGCACCTCCTCCTAATTTCCAAACTATGAGTTCTCTTCATTATATTCACACCACACATTGGCCTCAGACATGACATTTCCACTGCCTTCAGCCTTCTCCTTGCTGCAATATTTACTACCCATGCTTCGCAACCATATAAGAGCATTGGTATAACTACATTTTGATACATTCCCCTCTTTGCTTCCATGGACAAAGTTCTTTGTCTCCACAGACTCCTAAGTGTACCACTTACTTTTTTCCCCCTCATCAATTCTGTGATTCACCTCATCTTTCATAGACCCATCTGCTGACACATCCACTCCTAAATACTATCTGAATACAATCACCTCCTCCACACTTTCTCCCTCCAATCTGATATCCAGTCTTTCAATACCTAATTTTTTTTATCCTCATTACCTTACTCTTTCCTATATTCACTTTTAATTTTCTTCTTTTACATACCCTACCAAACTCATCCACCAACCTCTGCAACTTCTCTACAGAATCCCCCAAAAGAACAGTGTCATCAGCAAAGAGCAACTGTGACAACTCCCACTTGGTGTTAGATTCTTTATTTTTTAACCCCACACCTCTTGCCAACACCCGAGCGTTCACTTTTCTTACAACCCCATCTATAAATATATTGAACAACCATGGTGACATCACACATCCTTGTCTAAGGCCTACTTTTACTGAGAAATAATCTTCCTCTCTCCTACATACTCTAACCTGAGCCTCACTATCCCTGTTAAAACTCTTCACTGCTTTCAGGAACCTACCTCTTACTCCATACATTTGCAACATCTGCCACATTGCCCCCCTATCCACCCTATCATACACCTTTCCAAATCCATAAATGCCACAAAAACCTCTTTACCCTTACCTAAATACTGTTCACCTATATGTTTCACTGTAAATACTTGGTCTACACACCCCCTACCTTTCCTAAAGCCTCCTTGTTCACCTACTATCCTACTCTCCGTCTTACTCTTAATTCTTTCGATAATAACTCTACCAAACACTTTACCAGGTATACTCAACAGATTTATTTCCCTATAAGTGAACTATAGATATAATTCCAAATGTACTCCTGTAAACCCTTTTAGGGCCTAGTTCCTAGGCCTTTTTTGTCTATCCATATGCTCTCATGCTACCAAATATAGAATGGATATGGGGTGCACAATAAACTAGCCACTTCAGTGGCAAAATAGAAAAAATTAATCTGGGTAAATGGGCCACTGGTGTGAAATGTATCTGATCCAGTTATGTAATTTAATTCACAGATATCCACTTGTTCCCAGAAGTGAAGCCAGAGCATTTGCAACGCCTCCCTTCACTTGAGGGCTCCAGTGGTATCACACTTTACATATATGATGTCAGTGACGCAGAAATCAAGTGGGCCAATGAAGTGGTTCGAGTGTTGTGTCCTGATCAAGGGTAAGTGGATATTTCATTTTTTAATGCTTCAGATATCTCCCAATGAGGTAAGGTGACAACCCCCTCCCCAGACACACGAAAAAAATTACTATTTCTCATTCAGTAGCTCTCACAAGAAGTGAATATACTTTATTTTATTATACACCCTGAATCCCACCAGCAAGGGTGCGAAAAAGAAAAAACTTTCACCTCATCATCCCCACTTTGGAAGTCTTACATACATTTTAAACTGCAACATAACACCTCCTAAGGGTAATAATATATTCAAATAACCTCTAACTCATCAAAAGTCAACAAATAACTATCATTGATACAGTTCATTATCAAAATGTAATAAATTCTCTGTAATAATGTCTAACTACCCGTCACATAAGCTGTTCTAACATCATCAAGATCTGAACCTCGCTATATGAAATTTAATTGTTCCGTACAGCTTGTAATATTTGTATCTGATAATTTCTTGTTTAAATTAATTGAAATACTATTAATCTAATGACCATTAATCTGTTCCAGTGGAATTCCTGCTCTCGGGAAGCTGGACAAAAATACTTCACTATGACATAAACAATATAATTTAACATAGAAACATGATATATACTCTAGAATGAATAAAATTGGCCATAATATGGCGAGTGGTGGTGGCAGAGTCCATTCCCTCTCCTGCTGACTATATCTTCCAATGCTTTTGTTATAAGAGAAAATGGAGTGTTTGTGAGGCTAACTGTACTAGTTTCATAAATAAGAAATATTGTATAAAACCATAATAGAGAATGTAAAGAAATAAAGTGGTTTTATTTCTTTACGCTGGTGGAGGTGGAGAGTGGAAGATACGCTACTTGCTACTAGCTCCTACTGCCACCACACACCTCGCTTGTTTATCTATGATTTCATGCTGTAATTCCATGGACATCATCCTCTTTTTCTCCTCAGCCCTGTCCTTTGCACTTACTTTCTTAGAACCCATGGTTAGAAAAAAGAAATTTGGCAGTAATAACACAAGGAATGCTTCCACGGTGCCGTAAACACATTGCACAGCTCAGCTGATGTTGTGGCACTGGCTGTGCCACCTAGTGGCGATGTTCTTGCTTGTTATTATTATTATTATTATTATTATTATTTTTATTATTATTAATTTAGGGAACTGGAGCACAGATCCAATTCCCTAGCTGAATCAAGAGCCTCTCACCAGCATCAAGGAACCTCCCTTGAGGCGGAAGCTCGCAAACTTGAATTTTGGCTCGTATCCAGGAGCAAAAAAATCGACCAATCAACGGCTCATATCCTGAAAAACTCGCATGGTGGGGCACTCGTAAGCAGAGGTTCCACTGTACGGTGGACCCTTTGTTATCGTCGATCTCTGATTATTGCCAATTTCAGTTTTGGCCGACTTTTTTTTTGTCGATTTTTGGCTTTCGTTTTTGTCGTTACCTCTGTTTTCATTGATCATATGGAATCTGTCCGGTGTCCAGTGGGCAGACAAAACCACCTCCCACATGCATTCTCAGCCAGTGTAGCATTGTTTCTCGGTGAGTGAACATATCCTGCCAGGTTATTCAAAACATTTCGTAATAATCCAGTGTTTTTGCCACTTGTTTATTGTGTGAGACTGCTAAATAAGTGACCGTGGCCCCAAAGAAAGTTCCTAGTGTCAGTGCTTTGGTAAAGAAAGTGAGGAACACTGTAGAACTGAAAAAAGAAATCCTAAGAAAATATGATAGTGGCATATGCATTGCTGAACTTGGCAGGATGTACAGGAAGTCGCCATCAACAATCAGCTCCATTGTGGCAAAGAGAAAAGAAATCATGGAAACTGATGTTGCGAAAGGGGTGAATGCAATAACCAAACAGAGATCCTAAACAGTTGAAGAAGTGGAGAATTTGTTGTTGGTGTGGATCAGAGAGAAAGAGTTAGCAGGAGATAGTGTTGTGTAATCCATTATTTTTGAAAAGGCAAGGCAGTTGCATGAGGATCTCATAAAGAAACTGCCTGAAACACGTGGTGATGAAAGTGAATTCAAGGCCAGCAAAGGCTGGTTCGAAAATTTCAAGAAGAGAAGTGGCATACACAGTGTTGTAAGGCATGGTGAGGGTGCCAGTTCAGACAAACAAGCGGCTGAAAAATTTGTTGAGGAATTCAAATGTTATGTAGAGTCTGAAAAATTCCAACCCCAAAAAGTGTTCATTTGTGACAAAACAGGCCTCTTTTGGAACAAAATGCCAAAGAGGACCTACATCATGCAGGAAGAAAAGGCACTCCCAGGACACAAGCCTATGAAAGACAGGTTAGCTCTCTTGTTGTGTGGTAATGCTAGTGGGGATTTCAAACTGAAGCCTTTACTGTTGTATCACTCTGAAAATTCCAGAGTGTTCAAGAAAAACAGTGTTGTTAAGAGTAAATTGTGTGTGATGTGGAAAGCAAACAGTAGGGTATGGGTCACAAGGGAAATTTTCCTGGAATGGTTTAATGATGTGTTTGGCCCCAGTGTGAAAAAATACCTCGTGGATAAGAAATTGCCACTCCAGTGCCTCCTGTTAATGGACAATGCTCCTGCTCATTCTCCAGACTTGGAAAACCAATTGTCTAAGGAATTCAGTTTTGTAACAGTGAAGTTTTTGCCTCCTAACACCACTCCTCTCCTCCAGCCCATGGACCAGCAGGTCACTGCAAACTTCAAAAAACTGTGCACCAAAGCAACATTTCAAAGGTGCTTTGACATAACCTTGGACTCTGAATTGACCCTATGAGAGTTCTGAAAGAATCACTTCAATATCTTCCACTGCATAGGCCTTATAGATAAGGCTTGGCAGGGAGTGACTTCCAGGATGATGAACTCTGCTTAGAGAAAATTGTGGCCAGATTGTGTCCAAAAGAAGGATTTTGAAGGGTTTGAGGCTGATCCTGTCGACCCTACACCTGTTGTGCAATCAATTGTGGCATTGGGGAATTCCATGGGGTTGGATGTGAGTTTGGAGGATGTGGAAGAGTTGGTGGAGGACCACAATAGAGCTAACCACTGATGAGCTGCAAGAGCTTCATCTGCAACAGCAACAGACCACAGCTGAGGAAATTGCTTCAGAGAAGGAGGAAGAGAAATAGAAGAAGGTGCCTTCTTCAATGATTAAGGAGATTTGTGCAATGTGGACTAAAGTGCATTCATTTGTGGAGCAACATCACCCTGAGAAAGGTGTTGCAATCCATGCTGGTGACTTTCACATTGACAGTGCCATGTCCCATTTTAGGCAAATCTTAAAGAGAAGCCAGAAACAGACCTATCTGGACAGATATTTTGTGCGACAGGGGTCCAGTGACTCTCAAGCTGGTCCTAGTAATAGTAAAAATCAAAGGAGTGAAGTGACCCCATATAAGGACTTGGTACCTAGAGTCCTTATGGATGGGGATTCCTCTTCCAAGCAATAACCTATCTTCCCTCTCCCTCCCTGCCTTCCTTCCAGCAACAACAGCCTTCAATAAAGGTAAGTGTCATGTTTAATGTTCATTCTTTTGTGCATGTAAATGTATATTTAAGGTAAAAAAAAATTTTTGTTGATACTTCTGAGTGTCTGGAACGGATTAATTCCATTTACATTATTTCTTATGGGGAAAATGGTTTGGGTTTTGGCCGATGGCTCTGGAACAGATTAAACATGAAAACCAAGGGTCCACTGTACCATAATTTTACTTTTGCTTTTAATATCTGATAATGTTCCCTTAACCCTTAAACTGTCCAAACGTAAATCTACGTTTACATGCCTAGCACTCCAACCTTGATTTTCTCCATTTTAAAGCATGTAAAAAAAAATGTAGATCTACGTTCGGAGCGCTACGCGAGCAAATGTTTAAGGGTTAATATCAGGATCATTCAAGGTAAGTAAAAATATTATTACCAGGAAGTTTGATAGTAAACAGGTGAATTAGCCTACTGGTACTTCCCCATAGTCCATTTGATTACATTGCCTGGTTTACCTTAGCTTGGCAGTGCTAAGCACCAATGAATTTTTATTATTGTTTTTGCTATTTATTCCTTATTTTATGCAAAATAGTTTACACAATTCATTATACAGGAGCTTAGATTATTGTCTAATATCAAAACACTTTCCTAGGCTTAGTTTGAGGCCTATGAGCAATGTAACCTTCTGCCTCCAAGATGCTGGGTAAATTTTCAAGACTTATTTTTGGGAAAAAAATAGTGACTTCAGTGCCATAAAATACGGCATTTGGTAGGTCATTGATGCAAACAAGTTATAATAGTGGACCAATGACTCTATCTTGAGGTACCCATGTTGATAGTTTGTGGGTTATCCAAAGATAAATCTAGTTAATGTATGCCCACATCATCATTGTTTCTTCAGAACCATTGTGCAGATTCATATTGTATTACTGTTGGTAGAATCATCTGTATAGTATTTCCTAAATATAACTTTTATTAACACATTGTTGTTCCAGCAGAGAGTACGACAGCTTGGTTTTCCCAAGGAGTCAGCTGACTTCTGATGGTTGTAGAGCTCTGGTGGTAGCATTAGCAGACCATGGAACACCTCCAGGCCGTATTACACTGAGCAGCACCCTGGAAGTCTTTTCCAAGAACATCATCAGTGATGACATCCCTCCTCTGACCTTGACCACCAGGAAGACCCTCAGGTGTAAATTCATAATGTAAGTGACAATTTCCAGGAGTTCTTCACCTCTCTCATCCTTTAAGAGGGTTCCCAATGGTAGCAAAGGGCTCTTAATTCAAATAACTAGAGCTTCCCTCTCCTTTCTTGAATTAAACCTGATTGCATTCCATTGGTAGTAGATGGCAAAAGCAGACAATCAGTAAATCAAAGATACATAAACTGAATAAGTCTTTAATTTAACACTGTTTTTGCCCATGTGGCATAGCCCCACAGTGGTTGAAATGTCATAAATAAAAGGTATAATCTGTTATTGTTATTATATATTCAAAAACATGTGCAACACTTGTAAGCATCACTTAGTGCTGCTGTCAGTATTATGTATAGTTGTCATGCATATTGGAATACTCCCTATCATACCCCAAGCTGTAGTAACAGTCTAATGGCTATGTGGTGAGTGGAAATATATAGTGGTATACTAGACCATTATATTACACGGATTTATTTGCCATGTTTTGGTTATTGTACTATTGAAAAATTGCGGCACAATTTTATACAACGAGGTCTCCCCGGCTGATCCACAACAAGGCGGCCGCTTAAGGAAAAAGAAATTTTTTTTTCCTTCCCGCAAACTGAACTGTGTTAAATTAATTTTATGACGTGTTACATAAAATTGTGCAGCAATTCTTCAATCGTGCTATACCCAAATCGTGCCAAATAAACTCATGCTAAATGACGGTCTACTGTAATCCTAAATAAACAGTGTAGACATTCCTGGCATTAAAACATGTCCCTTGTTCTTTATCCACATCCCCAGGCCTCTCCTGCATTATACTTGCCTTCTGTGTTGAATTCATAATCCCACAAAAGTAGAAGATTTACTCTATTTTCAAAATTCAAAAATTCAAAATTCAAATTTTTATTTCTTTGCAAGTTTACAATGAGATAATAAAATATAATCAGGATTAGTCATGGTTTATGGTGTTCCAATAATTGATTTAGACCTATTAAAAACAGAGTTGTAGGAAGCCTCACCTGTCCTCGGGAAAATTGGCCAAGTTGAATTTTTCTGCTAATTTGTGCTCAATTTCGAGATACTTCCATGCCTGAAACCAACCAAAATAATCTCTATTTCTCTAGTATGTCTTCTGTTCTATTGAATGATACCAAATAACAGCCAATAAAACCATCCAAGAAAACACCTCAAATTTACAATTTTAAACTGTATACATGGTTGGAATTTTGCTTGTCCCATCATACACTGCATAGGGCAGGATCTTTTTTTTTTATATTGGGCACATTCACCACACAGACCCATTCTCACATATCTAGGTTAAAATTTACCACTTACAGCTTATCTGAGTGAGCTGAGCTCATGATGTAAAATACACAAATAGCCCGAACATATGAGAAAGGAACTTACGATGATGTTTCAGTTTGTCTTGGACCATTAACAAAGTGACTTTGTAAATGGTCCAAGATGGACTGAAACATTGTTATAAGCTCCTCTCTCCTATGTGCAGGTTATTTGTGCATTGTTCCAGTCATGGTATTATGCCTTTTTGTTCTTCATGGTGTAGAATTACATGAGGGACCCTGGCCTCAATGAAGTTGTTCTATGTGATGGCACTCAAAGAGTTAAGTAACATGTAAGCTTTATGATTAGTTGCCCAGAATGCATTGCACAATTAGTGGCTTTATTTTGTGCCTACTACATAATGTATCAATTAGCTTTAAACTACATTATCTGTATAGCTAAAAGAAATAAACATCATTATTATTGTGTTTATATATGCAAGATGATAGAGTGGGAGAGGCACTGTCAAGAAATTTTAAATGAAAATAAGAAAAAATTTTGGAGTGAGTTAAACAAGTTAAGAAAGCCTAGGGAAAGTATGGATTTGTCATTTAAAAACAGAGTAGGGAAGTTAGTAGATGGATAGAGGGAGGTATTAGGTACATGGCGAGAATATTTTGAGGAACTTTTAAATGTTGAGGAAGAAAGGGAGGCGGTAATTTCATGCACTGGCCAGGGAGGTATACCATCTTTTAGGAGTGAAGAAGAAGTGTGGTGGAGGCACGTGAGGCATTACGTAGAATGAAAGGGGGTAAAGCAGCTGGAACTGATGGGATCATGACAGAAATGTTAAAAGCAGGGGGGGATATAGTGTTGGAGTGGTTGGTACTTTTGTTTAATGTATGAAAGAGGGGAAGGTACCTAGGGATTGGCGGAGAGCATGTATAGTCCCTTTATATAAAGGGAAAGGGGACAAAAGAGATTGTAAAAATTATAGAGGAATATTTTTACCGAGTATACCAGGAAAAGTATACGGTAGGGTTATAATTGAAAGAATTAGAGGTAAGACAGAATGTAGGATTGCGGATGAGCAGGGAGGCTTCAGAGTGGGTAGGGGATGTGTAGATCAAGTGTTTACATTAAAGCATATATATGAACAGTATTTAGATAAAGGTAGGGAAGTTTTTATTGCATTTATGGATTTAGAAAAGGCATATGATAGTGGATAGAGGAGCAATGTGGCAGATGTTGCAAGTATATGGAATAGGTGGTAAGTTACTAAATGCTGTAAAGAGCTTTTATGAGGATAGTGAGGCTCAGGTTAGGGTGTGTAGAAGAGAGGGAGAATACTTCCCGGTAAAAGTAGGTCTTTAGACAGGGATGTGTAATGTCACCATGGTTGTTTAATATATTTATAGATGGGGTTGTAAAAGAAGTAAATGCTAGGGTGTTCGGGAGAGGGGTGGGATTAAATTATGGGGAATCAAATTCAAAATGGGAATTGACACAGTTACTTTTTGCTGATGATACTGTGCTTATGGGAGATTCTAAAGAAAAATTGCAAAGGTTAGTGGATGAGTTTGAGAATGTGTGTAAAGGTAGAAAGTTGAAAGTGAACATAGAAAAGAGTAAGATGATGAGGGTATCAAATGATTTAGATAAAGAAAAATTGGATATCAAATTGGGGAGGAGGAGTATGGAAGAAGTGAATGTTTTCAGATACTTGGGAGTTGACGTGTCGGCGGATGGATTTATGAAGGATGAGGTTAATCATAGAATTGATGAGGGAAAAAAGGTGAGTGGTGCGTTGAGGTTATGTGGAGTCAAAAAACGTTATCTATGGAGGCAAAGAAGGGAATGTATGAAAGTATAGTAGTACCAACACTCTTATATGGATGTGAAGCTTGGGTGGTAAATGCAGCAGCGAGGAGACGGTTGGAGGCAGTGGAGATGTCCTGTCTAAGGGCAATGTGTGGTGTAAATATTATGCAGAAAATTCGGAGTGTGGAAATTAGGAGAAGGTGTGGAGTTAATAAAAGTATTAGTCAGAGGGCAGAAGAGGGGTTGTTGAGGTGGTTTGGTCATTTAGAGAGAATGGATCAAAGTAGAATAACATGGAAAGCACATAAATATATAGGGGAAGGAAGGAGGGGTAGGGGTCGTCCTCGAAAGGGTTGGAAAGAGGGGGTAAAGGAGGTTTTGTGGGCGAGGGGCTTGGACTTCCAGCAAGCGTGCATGAGCGTGTTAGATAGGAGTGAATGGAGACGAATTATACTTGGGACCTGACGATCTGTTGGAGCGTGAGCAGAGTAATATTTAGTGAATGGATTCAGGGAAACCGGTTATTTTCACATAGTCGGACTTGAGTCCTGGAAATGGGAAGTACAATGCCTGCACTTTAAAGGAGGGGTTTTGGGATATTGGCAGTTTGGAGGGATATGTTGTGTATCTTTATACGTATATGCTTCTAAACTGTTGTATTCTGAGCACCTCTGCAAAAGCAGTGATAATGTGTGAGTGTGGTGAAAGTGTTGAATGATGATGAAAGTATTTTCTTTTTGGGGATTTTCTTTCTTTTTTGGGTCACCCTGCCTCGGTGGGAGACGGCCGACTTGTTAAAAAAAAAAAAAAAAAAAAAATGCAAGTTGGCCATCACTAATCCTGTTTCATCAGTAATCCAGCACTAATTTTGGCTAGCATAATTTCAAATTTCTGGGGTTGCTGTACCAACCTGCTGCTACTGTTTGGTGGTACTACTTGCTGTATAAGTCATTCCAATTTTTCTCCATTTATTGTTATATCCAGCTCACTTTTAGCCCTAGCCACGGTTCCAGCGAATAAAGGAAATGCTTCTTATTGTGTAAAGCACAAACACTGTACATTGTCCATAAAAATTAAGGTGGCTTTGAAACCACTGTCAGTCCCATAGTATGATGCCATAAGCTCAGCTCACTCAGATAAGCTGTGACTGATAAATTTGGGCCGACATATGAGAGAATAGGTCTGTGTGGTAAGTGTGCACTATATAAAAAAATCCTGCAGCTTGCAGTGCATAATATGAAAAAAACTACGACCGTGTTTCTGGTGTAAAACAACAACTTTGCGGTGTATTTTCGTAAGGTTTTTATGGTTGTATTCTCGGTTGGTCTCCTTTGATAGAATGGAAGACATACTACAGAAAAAGAGATGATTTGATTGGATGGAAAGTGCCTTGAAATTGAGCTCAAAGTAGTGGAAATGTTCAATTTTTGCCCATGTTCAAGAGTAAACAAATCACATCACATGTCCAATGTGTGTCCAACTGGCCAGTCTGATACGCACTCACAAATGGGTTAACATTATTTATACAATTACTACAATAATGAAGTAGTCTGCATAATAGTAAATCTTCTATTTTTTGTGAGAATAAAAATTTAAAATGGAAAGCAAGTGTAATATAAAAGGGGCCTGGAGACATGACTAATGAACAGAGAAAATGTTATTTTGGTGCAAGGAATGTCTGCATTGTTTATTCTGGACCGTATTTTGAAATTGGCATCACTTGAAATTTCTGTGAAATTGGCCAAATTACCAATTTCTGATCACTTTATTGGGTAGTTGAAATAGGTAAATGGGCAGTTTCTTGTACTCAGTCGACAGAATAGGAGGAATACTAGAGAAATAGCTATGAGTTTGGCTGACTGGAACAATGGAATGGGCCAAAAGATAGGGCATGAAGTTTGCCTATTATTTTATACAGTCATATCTTTTTACAGGTTGTCATGATAAAAGATTGGAGAAATGTTGAAGATGATGTAACTGATGCACCAGATGTTGCAGATTTACAGAACTGGAACTACGTTACCACCACTGTATTTAGTGACCTGAAGAAGGACTAACAACCTCTGTGCCCTATTGACAGCAGGAAGGATACAAAAAATTATTTTTGTGCAGCTTACAGTGTTTCAATGTTCTTATTTTTTATGTTTCAGCAGTTTTAACCCCTTGAGGGTCCGTGCCATTGTTCTATGGCTTTGAAGCCAGGGTCAGTGCCCTAGTAGTACTATGTCATGAGCTCAGCTCACTCAAATAAGCTGTGAGCGGTAAATTTGGGCCTAGATATGAGAGAATGGGTCTATGTGGTAAGTGTGCACCATATAAAAAAAAATCCTGCAGCACACAGTGCATAATGAGAAAAAAACTGTGACCAAAATCAAATCAAATAGAAATCAAAAGTTCATTTCTTTGCAAAGGTTACAATGTGTGTTTACATTTCAGAATTTGATTGGTACAAAGAAAGCCACTATCATGCTGAGGCATTTTGGGCGGACTTAACGGACTAATTAAGTCTAGACACACGTCAAATATTCAAAATTTTACTCAGTTATTCATATAAGGTAGTACAATTATGATACAAACATTTTTAGGTTTGTAAAAATTATTTAATAGTTTTTTTTTTTTTCAACAAGTCGGCCGTCTCCCACTGAGGCAGGGTGACCCAAAAAAGAAAGAAAATCCCCAAAAAGAAAATACTTTCATCATCATTCAACACTTTCACCACACTCACACATTATCACTGCTTTTGCAGAGGTGCTCAGGATAGAACAGTTTAGAAGCATGTACGTATAAAGATACACAACATATCCCTCCAAACTGCCAATATCCCAAACCCCTCCTTTAAAGTGCAGGCATTGTACTTCCCATTTCCAGGACTCAAGTCCGACTAATATGAAAATAACCGTTTCCCTGAATCCCTTCACTAAATATTACCCTGCTCACACTCCAACAGATCGTCAGGTCCCAAGTATCATTCGTCTCCATTCACTCCTATCTAACACGCTCGTGCACGCTGGCTGGAAGTCCAAGCCCCTCGCCCACAAAACCTCCTTTACCCCCTCTTTCCAACCCTTTCGAGGATGGCCCCTACCCCTCTTTCCTTCCCCTATAGATTTATATGCTTTCCATGTCATTCTACTTTGATCCATTCTCTCTAAATGACCAAACCACCTCAACAACCCCTAGATGATATTGTGGTATTCAGTAACCAGTGGGAAACTCACTTGGTAAGATTGCAAAAGTTGTTTGAATGTCTATCCCAAGCCAATCTAACCATCAATTTGAGCAAAAGTGAGTTTGGCCAAGCCAGTGTACAATTCTTAGGATATGTAGTTGGTCAGGAAAAAGTTGCCCCAATTCAAGCTAAGTGGAGGCCATTAAAAATTTTTTCCTTAGCCCCACAAAAATCGGAAGGCAGTGATGGGGTTTCCTGGGCATGGTGGGTTATTACAGACGATTTTTGCCCCAACCTCTCCCAGGTAACGTCACCACTGACAACCTTGACCAGTCCCAAAGTTCAATTCAACTGGGACAGCAAGTGTGACAGGGCTTTTAAAAATGTGAAAATTTTAATTAGGGAATGCTCCTATCTTGAAAAGTCCTGAGTTTGAATCCCCCTTCTCTCTAAAAGTGGATGCTAGTGATGTAGGGTAGGTGCAGTGTTGTTGCAGGGTGATGAGAGAGATAGCCTTCAGCCATTTGTTACCATTCAGCCAAATTAAAAAAGCATAAACGTAGTTATGCAACTGTAGAGAAAGAGGCTTTGGCTTTGGTGTTGGCTGTGCAGAAATTTGAATTTTAAATTTTAGTGCTTCCCCACATCCTGTAATAGTGTATAGTGACCAAAACCCTCTGGGGTTTTTGCAAAGAATGAGAAACCACAATCAAAGCTCTTAAGATGGGCTTTGTTTCCTACAGCCTTTTAATTTGAAAGTTAAATATATAAAAGGCTCAGAGAATGTGGTTGCTGATGCTCTCTTCTAGATGTTTCATGTAGATGCATGGTGCTACTTTGTACATAGTGTTTGTCATGTGCTGACCTTGTTTTTTTTTGCAGTGGTGAACTCTCGGCGAGCCTGAGTCCCTCCCTACCAGCCATCTGACTGTGAAGGAGTCGAGTCAGAGCCAAAAGTGTGACGAGGGTCAGGGTGTACGTAAATGTGAGTTGAGGCAGTAGTTGACAACCTTCGTAACATGAGACGTTCAGGAAGGTTGTGATGTTGTGTCTTGGTGTGCTCTATATAAAAAACGGCCGACGATTTCCCCTTTGTGGTCCCTTGGCCCCCTCCATGTCTATGTCAGCCTCCTCTTCATAAGTTTGGGGGATCTGGTGGAGTGGGACCCCCGGAAGATGGGCTTGAGTGCCTGACCAGGGTTAAGGATCGTGAGTGTTGACTGGAAGTCCACTGTTTGTTTCGCCACCAAGTGAGAGACACCTTAAACATTTTTTTGTGAAGTTTCCTGCCTGGTGTACACCTGACTGCTCTGGTTTGGCTCTACTCTCTCTCCTGATCGGGAAAGATGCCACCCGGGAGTACCAGTTGCTTGCTGGATTACCGTAGCAGAGGCACAGCCTGTTGGTGCGGGCTTTCACAGTGGGCATGTGTGCAATTTTGCATTGTAATGTGTTTTGTTTTAAAAGTCACTAAAATTGTAAATAGTTACACCCTTGAGTATATGGGTATGGTTAAAATGCTTTTATAAAAAATTCTGCAATCTGTTGAAATAACAGTAAAGTAAAAAAGAGTAGTTATGGTGCTAGGAATATGTAGCATTTTCTAGTAGTCTTTTTTACCGCCTTCAGACTTAAGCAATATACTTTTTACTAGCCGTATCCTGAGGGACACGGCTAGCTTTTGTGAACTTCGTCTGGAGGTGGGGGTGTTAGGGGGCTATAGGACCCAAAAATGTATTTATAAATAACAGTTACTCTGGAATACCTATTTATTTTGAATTGAGGGGACTTTGCTCTAAATGTCAGAAGGACTGATCAACCTTATGACTGAAGGCAGCTGGGTCAAGCCTAATTTTTCTCAATATAATAGGTTATACATAGACACATAAACACACAATTTAAATAAGTAGTTTATAAAGTTTATTTTTTTTTTGAAAAAAGTAAAATTAAGGTGTGGTAGAATTGTGGTAACTGGAGAATTGTGCTTGGAAACAGTCTTTTTGTTTTGGGTGGGGGGAGCTTAGCAGGCCTCCTTCTCTCCCTCTAAACTGACTCCCTCTCTCTGTGGCTGACCTTCAACCTGGCGGGATCTCTGGGTCTCTCCTATCTTTTGGGGCATCATGTGTGCTCCAGGGGTGAGTTTTTATAATTTAAGTTGTGGCTCCCCATACCCGGGGTGACTAAAGTGTGCCCAAAACACTGGTTACCCAGAGTTATGTAAGAAGAGAGGAAAAAAAGTTGTTGGAACACACCATGTGGAGAACAGGTATGGAGTGTGTAGATTTTGTTTTGAAAATGTGAGGCTGTGATTGTATATTCTGTACATATCTATTGAGAATACAGTTATATTTTTTATAGTAGTAGTTTACATAACCTGTGAAGAGGGCTGGTGAAAGGATCAGAGACAACTCAGATGACAGCCATGATGTAAGTATTACCCCTAGACAGAAAGGCCATTAGTAAAAAGCTACCCCACACTAGATCATGTAGTGAGAAAACCTTTCTAACAAAATAAAAGGGACAACCAACAACAGTGTAATACATACTTTCCCTACATCCCTTCCTTCCTCCATAGATAACGTTTTTGACTCCACATATACCTCAACGCACCACTCACCTTTTTTCCCTCATCAATTCTATGATTAACCTCATCCTTCATAAATCCATCCGCCGAACACTTTAACTCCCCAAGTAACAGTGGACCCCCGCATAGCGACCTTAAACCGTGCAAGAGGGCTGGTTTTATGCAAAATGTTCGGTATGCGAAGAATTTTCCCCATAAGAAATAATGGAAATCAAATTAATCCGTGCAAGACACCCAAAGTATGAAAAAAAAATTTTTATACCACATGAAATGTTAATTTTAATGGGACACAAACTGAAAAGGCATGCAAAAATTACATGACACTTATTTTTATTGAAGATCTGGTGATGATTGATGGGGTGGGAGGGGGGAGAGTGTGTGTTAGTGTTTAGAAGGGGAATCCCCTTCCATTAAGACTTGAGGTGTCAAGTCCTTTTCTGGGGTTACTTCCCTTCTTCTTTTAATGCCACTAGGACCTCTTCAGAGTCACTGGACTTCTTTCGCACAACATAACTGTCCATTTGTGGCCTGTACCTCTCGTTCCTTTATGACTTCCCTAAAGTTTTTTTCAAAAACATTGTCAGTGTACAAGGTTTCCAACACGGCTTGCAATAGCTGTGTGAGGGTGATTTTCTTTCCATGAAGGTTTGCACTTCAAGCCACTTTGCACAGATTTCCTTAATCTTTGTAGTAGGCAACTTCTTCAATTTCTCTCCTTTTTCCCCTCCTTGAACAATTTCCCAGGTTCCTGGCCCCGCTGTAAAAAAGACCACGTCATGGGATCTTCCCGCTCCTCCTCCCAACTCTTCCCTATCACTTTAACCCCAAAATAAAGGGAAATTTCCAATAAATTGGTTTCAAGGAAATCCCCCAGGGAGCCTTAAACCCCTTTAAAACCTTTTTTAAAATTCTGCCAAAATTCAATTTCCAGCAAATAAATGCGCTATAGACTCCCCAAACTTTCCTAATAATTACACAATTTAGGATTATTAAATGTCCTTCAAAACTTCTTAGATCATTGAGTTCTAAGGGACTACAGGACCCAAAAGGCTTTGTGTTCACAGTTTTTTTAATACAAAAACCTGTGGCCAGGGCCAAAAGAAAAGTGGGGTATTAAGGGAAAAACCCAAATAAATTTCCAGCAATTAAATCGGTTGGCCCCTCTGTAATGACCCGGCATTTCTAAAAGGAGGATTAAAATTTAATTTTTTGTTAAAAGGAATCCCCTTTACAGGGGGAAAAAAAACATGTGTAAAAAGTATAAAAAAATCCCAGGAAGCCACTGGTCCAAAAAGCAACACAAATTTCTTAAAAAAATTCTTTTGGAACAGTCCGGGAAAAATAAAGTAAAAAAACGAAAAAACCCAATTCATTTCTTTACCATGCCAAAAAAAAATTAAACAAATAATGGGGCCCCCCTTTCAGAGGCCCAAAAAGCGCGGGAGTGGCCTTTCCCCCAAATAATTTTTGCTCATTTTTAAAAAAGGGCCGCTTTCCATCACAATTAAAAAATTTTTTAGGGAAACCACAAATTTATTAAAACCGCCTTGAATTTTCCCGCACCCTAAATTTCAACGGGGATAAATGGCAGCCCATTTCATTTCACAACTATGGAACCCTTGTTCTTAAATCTCCAAAGCCCCTTTCCGGCCTTTTCACTTACATACACGTTCACATTTTTTAAATTTAAAACCCGTGCCCCCTCCACTTTGCTTAAAAAAATGCAAAAAACTATCCCTGCTAACTTATTTTCATTTAAATCCAAAAAAGATCCCCTCTAAAACCCCTCTTC